TAAGAAAAGATCTGCATGATAAAAAAGATATACAAGATATGCATAGAAGATATACATGAAATGCATAATAAATATGAAAGACATTATATGCAAGATATGCACAATAGAAAAGATATATATGATATAAGAGATATGCATAAGATAAGAGATATGAATGATATTAGAGATATGTATGATGAATAGTTGCACAACAGAGTAAGAATACATGTTATTAATGATATGAGCGATATACATGATACGAGAGATGTGTATGATAAATAGTTGCATAACAGAGTACGAATGCATGTTATGAAAAACAAAATAACTTATATATGAATGCTTAAATGTGCAAATTTTGAGTTCACCCAGTTACATGAATGGGACACATATGTAACAGCGTGCATAGAGGTTTTTCTACCACCCCAAGTAATTGTAAAAGTTAGATCACTAACCGCTATGTCAACAGGAAAATATTGGCTAATGCGTGTAAACAGAGCTTACCACCCCATACAATTACAATGTTCACAAAGCTAACCGCTGTGTCAATGAGATAATATCAGCCAGAGGCGGTTAAGGGCTTTTTCACGATAGGCAATTATGATATTTAAATGTTTAACCAATATGCAACAACAACAACAACAACAAATCTTTAATCCCACCACGTGAGGTCAGCTACATGAATCCTTTTTCTCCATGGCATCTTATTTAGTGTCATATATTCATTTAGTTATAATAAATTAAGATTATTTTTTATACAATAAGCCCCAGCCTTCCTAGGTCTACCTCTTCCTAGGTCTACCTCTTTAGGTCTACCTCTTCCTTTCATAACATAAGTCGAATCTAAAACATCTACTCTTCTAATTGGATCATCAGATGGTCGACGCTTAATGTGATCAAACCATATAAGACGACTTTCTCTAATTTTGTTGTCACAAGAGTTACACCAACCATATCACGGATATATAAATTTTGCTTTTTGTCTTTAAGTGTAAAGCCACTCACCCACCTAATCATTCTCATCTCGACAACGGTATTATGCTTCTCTTTTAAAGGCCAACATTCAACACCATAGAGCATTGCAGGTCTCACCACCGTCTTAAAAAATTTTCCTTTCAGTCTAAGCGGTACTATTCTATCACACAAAAGGCCCGAAGCATTCATCCACTTCAACCAACCAACTTGAATTTTACTATTAGCATCCCCATCTATATCACCATCGCTTTGAACAACAAACTTGAGATATCTAAATCATTCACACCTTTTAATAATTTGATCACCCAAAGTTACACTTCTTTCACTAGAGCTACTACTGCTAAAACTACATTTCATGTATTCAGTTTTAGTTCTACTCAAATGAAGGCCTTTAGACTCCAATGTAGACCTCCATAATTCATGTTTTTCTTGGGCTTTTTCTCTCGTCTTATCTACGAGAAGAATATCATCAGCAAAAAGCATACACTAATGTATGTAAATCATCCTGTAAATGTCCAGTAAGATCATCCATAACTAAAACAAAAATGTATGGGCTTCAAGGCGATCCCTGATGTAATCCAACAGAAATAGGAAAATATTTGGTCAATCCTCCTTCAGTTCGAACACAAGTAACATCTCTAGTATACATATCTTTAATGACTTCAATATAAGTCATATCAACGTCTTTCTTTTCAAGAACTCTACTAAGGATATCTCTTGGAACTTTATCGTAAGCTTTTACTAAATCAATAAATATCAAATATCGATTTTCTTTATTATTTCTGAACTTCTCCATCAAATCTTTCAATAAATGTATAACTTCCATGGTAGACTTGTCGGCATAAATCCAAATTGATTATGAGAAATCTTTGTAATACGTCTTAACCAATTTTCAATTACACTCCCATAATTTTAAACTATGACACATCAATTTAGTTCCTCTATAATTTGCACACTCTTCTGCATCACCTTTATTCTTAAAAATGGGGACCAAAATACTCTTCCCCTATTCTGCAGGCATCTTTTTAGTTTTTTAAATAATATTAAAGAGTTTAGTAAGCCAAGAAACTCCAAAATCTCCTAAATATTTTCATACTTCAATTGGGATATCAAAAGGTTCTATAAACTTTCCGTCCTTGGTTTACTTTAAAGCCTCCTTAACTTCTTTTTTACTAATGCGACGATAAAAATGAAATATTTTGTTATTATTAAAGATATTGAGATCAGTCGATCGTATTTTTAGAAACTTCACCAAAAAGTTTATCAAAACAACTCACCCACCTATGTTGAATCTTTTTCTAAGAAAAGCACTTTTGATTTTCATCTTTAATACACTTTACTTGAGTTAAATCTTTACTTTTATTTTCTTTGTTTGCCTAGTTTATACATATAGTTTTCACCATTCCTAGTATCTAATCAATTATGAAGATCGTTAAAAAAACAAAATTTTTAGCGTCACAGATTGTTCGTTTAGACTCCCTGTAGGCCATTTGATATTTTTCTCAGTTCTCTAAACTTTTACATTTAAACAAATTTCTCTAATATAACTTCTTATATTTTATATTTTCTTGCACATTCGTATTTCACCACCAACTATTTTTATTTAAAAAAACTTTTTCTTTTGATTATCCCAGTACATCTTTTGTTACTTGTTTAATAGTGTTTGTTACTTTATCCCACATAACATTTGTTTCATCATAAACATCCCAAATTTTAAAAACTTGAATTTTACTTGTAAAAATAATTTTATTTGCGTTTTTTAAGTTCCCCCATTTAATTCTATGATGATGAGTCCTAATATTCTTTATTTTACAACTCTTCATCTTAAAATCTAGAACTAAAAAACGATGTTGGGTGTTTAAATCCTCAATTTGAATGACCTTACAATCTTTACAATCTCGACGATCTCTTCTTCTCATAAGAATATAATCAATTTTTGTTTAGTTTGTGCTTACAATCATTTGCACATCAATCCGATGTACAAATAGAATAATTTCGGTCAGGGGGGTGCTAGATATTTTTAACAGTGATCCTCGAAAAGGCAGATGTGTATGTAGACAATATAAAGTAAAAATAGAATTAAAGTAAATGCATATAGAAGATTTAAGTATTTTAGTTTAAAAAAAGTCATTGATAGATATATTTGCATATATAAGATTTCTTATATAAATATGAAAGACCAACGTATTATAAGATTTCTTATGGAGATATGAAAGATCAGCATGCATATTGATTTATTCTCCTTAGGTTACTATATTTTAAAAGTGTTATTAATCTTGAATTATCTTTAGATAACTCATTATGTTTCTTTAGCATTTTTAAGTTTTCAACTTTTGATCAAGATGATTAGAAAAGAATCAGACGTGTATAGGAGGTGGGAACAGCAATTATAAAGATATAAATTTCAACTTAATAATTTTAATTGTTTTCTTTAGTGGCTCTTTCATGAATATTTTAGTATCAAACTGTTAATGATAGAAACAGAATAAAAAATATTTGATTTCCGTCGTCCAATCGCCCACATGTTAGTTAATTCCAAGTTTCGCGTTGGAATGTGAAAACCTTAATCATAACAACTCTCAATTTAACTCACAAATAATTATTTAATTAGCATCAATTAATCAATAATCAATACTTCAATTTATAAGATGTCAATCAAGCATTTATATTGATAAGATTATAAAGATAAGGCAAACCTACAAATTAAAATCTGATTTAATACCTTGAAAACAAACTCAAAACAAATTTATTCAAATAAAAATAAATGAACTTGTCAAAATAACTCACAATATCATAACGATAAATTAGGCTATAGTTAAATATGGTTCAAAAGAGTTAAAAATTAGTCTAGCTCAATTATTTTTGAATGGTAAATGAAAACCAAATCTATTTTGGGATAAACAAACCAATTAGCAGTGCATCAAATAGCATAAAAAGAAGAAAAAACAAATTCTGAAAAAAACTCAAGCTTAACATGTAACATCACTTAGCATGATAATAAACACAAATATATGAACCGAGAATTATAGCCGTGCAAATCTACATGAACATAGTTCTTGCAACCAACTTCTGATTGATGACAACAAGAACATTCACAAAAGCTACATAACAACGTGGAACATTTAACAAGAGAAAGATATGCAGCAATTTGTAAATGATGGTTGGTAACAACAGCCAGAATAAAAGGTTCATCAAAGATTTCTCAAGATTTAGAGCATATAAAAGACGATAGGCCATGAGGACCAAAAGTTAAGATGGAATAGTAGGAAGCAGGGTAGAAGTCATTTGTTACATACTTCAAATGCAAAATAGAAATAGGGAGCACTACAATTTTGCTCAATGGAGACTGAAATAGACCATGGAGGCATGGAGCAGGCTAATATAAGAGGAAGCTAACAAAATCCATGTTATGTGCTGGCTCAACTAAAAAATAATATTCAATATTTGAAGAAAGAGAAACTTCACACAATCAAATAAATACCTCTACCGACATGCTGAAAAAGTAACCAAGAAGACTAGATTGATCAAGGATGAACTCAGTCAATTTTGCTCTCAGCACATACATAAATTATATCTGCAGAATGTTTATTAAATAATAGCCCATAAAGGATGGTGGTTAGCATATTTTTCTGTGCAAAGGGAGGCACAACGATGCATTCCTCAAAAATTAAAACCACAGTATCATGTCCTTTATATTCTACATCCTGATCTGATATGCCCACAAAATTCAACTGCTACATACTTAAAAAGGCCGAATATGGCTATTTATAGAGGGATGTCAAACACATCATGTTACAACAAAGCAAGTAAAAGTCCGCATAAATTGTAAGGGATAAAAATTGTGAAAAAAAGACGCATACATAAGAAATGAAAAGCATGAAATGGATAATATGATGGATAATATGAGCTGTTTTGAATGAAAAGCATGAAATGGATAATATGAGCTGTTTTGAAAAAAAAAAAAATTACAAACTTGTTGAAAAAACTGTAACACAACTTACAACCAAACAACATTGTCTAAGAAAAATTAAACAAAAGAAGTAACCAACCGTAACATGGCAAGGAGCAATGGTTGCCGAAAGACGCCAATCAACATCCTCCCCAGCAGGAGCATGAACAAAGCTGGCCTCCAAAGCATTTGTCTTTCCCTCACTGCTAACACTCTGCAATACGAACATAAAAGGCCTTAAAACATGAAACAAATGGTTTACTCAAGCCATTTAACAAGCAAACCTGTGAAAGTTGACCCTCGGGTGAAGACAAGCCATAGCATTTCAAAGACACATCACAGTGGATACTTTTTGGATAAATCTTCATTGTGAGACCAAGCAATTCAAAACTGCCACAAACAATCTCTGTAAGATCAATGCCGACAATACGAGCTGCAGCTTTGCCAATTGATACATCAACAAGGAAATGTATCATATTTTGTACGTCCTTCCCTCTAGGTGAAAAGCTACCCTCATCTGGCTGATGACTCAGCAATTTGTTAATTGCTTGCCATTCTTTCTTGATCAACTTTTCCTCTTCAATGAACTGAGATTCCGTAGAGTTACGTTCAACAGAAGACTCCCCAGAAGATGTGCTCCTAAAAATTAAAACAAAGCATATTACTTTTTATTGTAGCAGCTTGTAATTAAAGATTATTTAGCAAAAGCACATCGAAACTAAGGAAATGCTTCCTCCCCTCTAATGCCAAGCACGTAGAATATGCATCAAGTTTTCTAGAGAAGTGATCCTAAACTAGATGAAATTCTTACAATGAGCCCCTTAGGTTACTATATTAGCACAAGAAACTAAATTAAAAAATATTAATGATGGACAATTTCCCAATAACCAAGCGATTAGGGTGCAACAACTTGCACATGTGGCACTAAGTCACCAAGCAATAACACGACTAGGCCATACTAATTTTTATTGAACCTATCGTTCTTTACATTTCTCTATTTCAATCTGCCTCTTACTCCATCTCTCTTTCTAGTCATTATGTTTGAAAATGAGACTAGCTAAAAGGAGAGAAAAATAGAGAAAGAGAAATATACTGTATTTTCTCATAAATACAGTATGGAGAGGCAAGTCCAAAAACAAACATCTCTGCTTGAGATCATCTATTTAAATAAGAATCTAAAGTCCCGAGCATTATGGAAAAAAACTGAATAATAAACTCGATATGTAATAAATACAAAAAAATAAATAAATAAATAAGAGGTGTTTAGCCCTAGTATAAACTCCAGTTGTCCTTTGTAGAAGTGTTGTTGGGTCTGCAGAGAGTATGGGTCGAGTACTCTCTAGGTTTGGCACCTAACAGAGCTAGATTGGTCCGACGAGTTTGTTTAATTAACTATGCTGAGTTTGTTTTAAGCCTGGTAGATGTTTTCCCTTTGACCAGCAAATAAATCCGTTTAATCCTAGCATGTTTATTGCTCGAACCAGGCTAACGAGGCTGTTTGGAGCTCAACTAGCAAATCTTCGTGGAACCTGCCTGGTAGGTTCAGGTCCACATCTTTTTGGTGAGTCCTCCCTTAATAAAACATTGTGTTTCCCAATTATTTTATATTTTAGAAAGCAAGTGCGAAAAGAATAAGAGAACATGAAAATATGTTTTTGTTTAGTTTAATACCATACTCGTTTGTTTGAGTCAGTCAAGCTTTTCTTTATGTTGATTTCATATTTCATTGGCTTATATTTGCCCGACAAGAAAGTCATTGGTAAAATAATTGACATTTAAAGTCCCAAGCAAACTACATGTAATAAAATTAAGGAAAAACTAACGTAAAATTTTCTTAGAAATTTGACCTTTTTATCCTTTCGTTCTTGTCATCATTAGTCCAATTTCCTAAAAATTACCTCTAGTAGAAATAGATTCCAATAGGTTTGATGTCGTTGACAAGACAATATTGGCCAACATTAAGGAAAACTCATAAGACGGGCAGTGCTGAGATAAGAATAACGAGGCTTGAATAGAATTTGTTGAGCAGAAGACAGAAATAGATGCCCCATCAGAGGAGTGGTTCCAATAGTGGTGATGAACTGATGATAAGTGAGTCTTTGCAAATAAATGGTGCCATCCTCAAAAAAAAGATTGAGGTGTAGGCCGAGTTGATGGGTTCGAATTGGCTAAATTTTATTTTACTCAAATGTTATATTGAATCAAGGTAGAGTGAATCATCCTAGAGGAGACAGAGCCATCCACCAATAATATTAAAATAGAAGGCAAGTTATTTTAGTGTTTTATTTATTAAGAAATTTATAAAATATTTTTCTATACAAGTACTTGTTTAGGAAACAGCAATGAATATGTAGGGGTTGATTTATGGTGGTACTTCTTCAAATGCCAGAATTGATTTATGGGAGAAAATTAAAATGATGGGGGCTTTATTGAGAGAGAGATAGAAGATTGCTGGGGATTTCAACATGATCATGCACCAATCAGAAAGAGGAAGAGGGTGGAGACATCCTTGATTGATAAATTTTGTAATGCTCTGGAGCAAGCTGGTCTTTATGATTTAGGTTATGATTTAGTAAACACCGTCTCATAATCAAAAGTGCATCACTAAAGCAGTTCAGGATCATATCATAAACCACTTCTCTTATCTATTGATATCTTTCAAAAATCAAGCAACTATCAATTTAGATATTTAAATATGTGGTCTAGACATCATGACTTTATCAGGGCTGTGGAAGAAAACTAGAAGTGAATGGAAATTGGTAATGCTTGGTATATGCTATAGAGACTGCATAAATCAGTGGCAAAGGCTTTGAGGCATTGGAATTGGAATACCATTGGAAATGTGCATACCAGAGTTTCACAGGGTGAAGAAGGTGAGATTGTTGGAAAACTAGGATGAAGCAAGTCAAGAGATTGTTATGAAATTGTCACAAGCTCATAAAGAACTTTTAGAAGCGATAGCATGTGAGGCAGAGCTACTACAACAAAAAGCAGGGTAGGTCAAGTTCAATGAAGGAGACGGAATTACAAAATATTTTCATGCTTATATTAAGCAAAAGAGAAATCTTAATGCTATTCTAAGAATTAAAGATGAAAATGGGAGCTAGATCACATATCAAAATGCAATAAGAGAAAATATTGATCAATATATCTCCACTCTATTTGAATCAAAAAGGATGAATCTAGATATTGATGCAACTTTATTTGAGGAAGAAAGAAATTATACTCAGGGATTGGAGATGTGTGACATACCAAATGAAGCAGAAGTATATGAGGCACTCAAAGAGATAAACTGTAATAGAGCTGTTGGGTCTGATGGCTTTACCTCTGATTTCTACAGCAAATGTTGGAATATCATTAAAAAAGATCTGGTGGCTGTTACACAAAGTTATTTATTGGATGAAGACCCTAGAGTATAATTTATTGCTTCAACTATTGTTCATATTCCTAAATCTGCTGAAAAATCATGGAATTAGTTTAGACCTATATCACTCACTTCTGTCATCTCAAAGGTAACAAATAAGATTATGGTGAGATGAATTCAACCTCATTTAAATCATATCATATCCATGAATTAATCAGTTTTCATTAAGGGGAGAGGTATCTCTGATAACATTTTGCTAGCATAAGAACTTTTATATGATTTAGATAAGAAATGCAGAGGAGGAAACCTAATTTTAAAATTAGACAACAGGAAAGCTTATGATACTCTAAGCTGAAATTTCGTCATTAATATTCTAAAGGCAAGGGATTTTGATAGAAAATTTTGCTCTCTCATTGGTAGGTGGTCTTCTTACAATAAATATAGTGTCCTGATTAATGAAAGTCCCTTTGGTTTTATTACTACTAAGAGGGGTATCAAACAGGGAGACCCTTTATCCCCAACTATTTTTATAGTGGACTTTGATAATTTTTCTAGACTTTTGAACCATGCAGAAGACATTTGCAAATGTGCAGTACTCACATTAATCAAAGTTTTTGATTAGCCATGTAGCTTATGCAGATGATGATGCGACTTTTCTTAATGGAGGAAAGTCAGCGGTTAAAAAGTTAAGTAAAACACATGATAAGTTTCTGACTGAATCAGATAAGAAACTTAACAAGGAAAAATGCCATTTGTATGCAGGCAAGGTGATAAACAGAAGCAATGCACAAAGGGCAGCCAATTTTCTTGGTTTTTCATTAGCTGAGTTGCCTTCAAACTATTTGCGGGTTAATCTCATTAAAGGGAAGAGGAAACAATCACAAATGGATGAGGTGGCGGAGAAAATTAAACATAAAATTTAAGACGGGTGGAATAACACATTATCCTTTGGAGGCAGAATTATTCTGATTAAAAGCATTCCAAACTCTCTACCTTTGTATGCTTGACAGGTATTACAACTGAAAAAGAGTACTCAGTTATATTTGGAGAGGTGCTTCAATAAATTTCTTTGGGCTTGTGGACTATCAAGAAAAAGATGGACCTCCTGGAAGGTTTGTTGTAAGCCATATGGTGTTGGTGGTTTGGGTGTAAAACAGTTGAACCATGTTGTTGATATTAACTATTTTAAACTATGGCTTAATTTTAGAAAAGGGTAAATCTCTTTGGATAAATTTTATGAAGAATCCATCTTTTGTGCAATGGAAGGTGGGGGACTCTAGATTGTGGAAAGTGCTTCTTAGGGTGAGAGAGTGGGCCTAAAATCTATTTTTTGGGACTTGTGGGATGGGAAGATTTTCATTTAGAAGGATTGCTCAAGAAAGGATGTTCTCTCTGTGGAGGTTGGGGAAAATTTTAAAAACTGCACTGACTTATGGGAACAAGGGGAGTGGAAATTGGAGGCCCTCAAACAGGTTTTTGGAGATGATGATGCATCATACATCTTTAATATTCCAATAGACACTAATAGGAAAGACACCCCTTTATTGAAAATGCATTTGAGCGGCACTATTTCTAATACAGTATCAAAATTACATCACTTTCAGAACACTGACTAAGGGTTTAACCTGTGGGGTTGGGCTTTAACAACTTCAATGTCTTTCTTTTCATGGAGATCACATCATTGCATTTTACCTTATGACGATATTTTCAAACTAAAAGGCTTCAGATTGGTTTCACAGTGTCCTCTATGTAGGGCTGAGGAAAAATCTATGAATCATATCTTTTTCTCTTGCTCTTTTATCATGGAAAGTTGGAGGGAGTGTGGAAATATTCTTAAAAGAAGCATCTCTATCTCCTGGAATGATATAATTGAATGTAGAAATGCCTGGAATGTTGGCTCTGACAAGAAACATATTATGAAAATCATTCTACATTGGTTTATTTGGACGGCTAGAAATGACTATAAACATGCAGGCAATGAGTTGAGGAGACACTATTTGGGCTAAGATTTTGGCATATATAAATAGATAGACTAAGTTGGGCAAGCATTCTTTCTTTGGTGGTATATCCTACTTTACATCTGATGATCGCATTACCTCAGGGTTGTGTAGGAAGGCACAGCAACCACTAATTTTGGTGAGATGGTTGTCCTCCCACTAATTGGGTAAAGGTTAATACAAATGGAAGCTGGAATAGTTGGCTGTTGGATTTGGGGGTAATTTTAGAGATGAGGAGGGGCAATATTTATATATTTCTCCTCTCCTTGTTGGGCTGA